AATTAGAAGGAAAGTTGGAAAGAAAAGAATGGGGAGATGATATAGAATTGAAAGAGTTATGGAAAGGACGAAAAGCCAGGTTGGAGGAAGAGAATAAGAGGTTGGAGGAGGATAAGAAGGATAAGTGGAAGCAGGTGGTGAAGTTACAGGATGCGTTTCTAGAATTCAGTGGAGGGAAAGGTAACGAACAAATTGTGTAAAAAAAAAAAAAATTATTTTTTGTTTGTTCCATTTCGTTTACAACTTGTATCTTTTTGTCTTTAAATGCTTCTATCCGCCTGTTTGCCATGAATTAAATTTTCATTTTTAAATTTTTTCTTGTTCATTTTTAATTTTTGATGACTTGTTTTCCAATACATTAATCAATATCACAAATATTTTATTAAAACTTCTCATTAACATGTCTTTTTCTTTCATCTTTGTCACTTTAGATGAAAATGTGTCAATGAAAAGGGGTCTTGACCAACTCAATATCAAGATAGAGCGATTGAACTATGACATTAAAAAAATTCGTGTATCCAGTGAGGAATGGTTTAGTTCTCCGGGTATACTTTTCTAAAATCATATCAAACATGGATTTGCAATCATATATATCTAATTATACTTCTTTTGTTCTTATTTAGCTACTACTACAGAGAGGGAAAAAGGCATCCTTGTTATGCAAATTGGTACACATATGGTGTTTCCATTTACATTGACAAGTAGACGCATAAGACAAGGGAAGTCAGGAAGATTTGCACATCCACCATCAAACCATGAAGAAGAGAAATCTTTTCAAGAGTACTTTATTCAAGAGTGCATCGCCTTAAAAGAGAATCTTGTCATCCATGATACTAGCAAAACCCCATTCTTAGAGACAAGAAAACCCGACTTTGTGTTTATTCACCATGATCAATACTTGGATCCTTTGAATGTTGTAATTGTTGGGGAGATAAGGAAATGTGTGGGAAATAATTTTAAAAAAGCTGACATAGGACATTGCATCTCCTTTGCTGAAAAGGCTCTTCAACTTCAACCGAGACGAACTTTTACGTATGCAATTTTGACAGATTGTCATGTGATTATAATGTATAAAGTGAGTAAGAATGAAAATGGTCGCTTCTCCTATGCTTATACAACAATGGAAAATTTACAATACAATGAAACAGATCCACCTATTGGTTGGAAACGTTTTGTTACTATTTTATCTCAACCACTAGAAACTCTTGGGTGGATTGAATCAAACCTCATTTATGGTGATAAGATTGTAGTATTGAAGCAGTTACTTGGTGTTGGAAGAACTAGTGTTGTGTTCAAAGGTGAATATCTTAATAATGAAGTAGCTGTAAAAGTTATGAAGAATGATAGTTATCAAGCATGCTTTGTAAGGGAGATAAATTTACTAAAAAAAATAGCATATCTTAAATCACCACATCTTCCAAAACTCTGTTTACATGACAACACTTCCATTGTCATTACTCCAGTATGCAATAAAATTCAGAATTTAGAAAAAGGGGATATCAAAGTAATTATAAAGACTCTTGAAGTCATACACAAGGAATTAAAAACCATACATCGGGATTTAAGACCTAAGTACAATTTACTTCGTGATTGCTCTGGAAAAATAGTGATATTTGATTGGGGATTCAGTGTTGAGAATGGAGAAGAAACATCATTTGCAGGAGCCCTGGAATGTTCAAATGATGATATCCTTAAGGCATTGATAAATGACCAAATTATTACATACACACCTAGTGTTGATTTAGTTAGTTTGGTGAGAGGTTTTTACCTAATGTTACATAAACCAAAAATCAAGAGGCAGTCTTTAGGTGCAAAACCTGATCCTGAGAAAATGCAACAGATAGCACAAGATTTACAGATTTTCTGGACTAATAATGCAAATTCATCTTTATGGACTAATATTTACCAAAAAGCAATGCAATTGGATTATGATGGATTAATATCAGCTTTGGAGGAATTGTTTTAGGTTAAAACTGTTGAAAAATCTTAATACTAATTAGCATGTATAAATAATTTCAGCTATATATAATATTATTCTTCTATTCCTTTGCATAATTTCTTAAATAAACCAAAAATAAATTTCATGATTAGTGTTGCTACTGCAATTATTCCTTATTTTGAAAAGGTTTTGAAGGTTACAGACATTATTTTGTGACAATGATGTATGAGGAAAAGGTTTCTTTCATGGTTATAATTGATTGTTTGTTAATTCTATAACATGTTGTGCTATTTCATTGTTTTTTTTTAAAAGGAAATAATGGTACAAAGTTTAATATGTGATAAGGCCGTCCAAACTTGAAGTCCTGTTTAACATCAACCCCCCCCCCTCATATTTTTTCTTAAAAAATGATGTTAAACAGATCTCTAAATTTGAATGGCCTAATGCAAATTTGAATAGGACTGATGACAAGTATGTCTTTATTAGAAATTTATAATAAACATTATGATCCCAATATTGTTCTATTCACTTTTAAGTTGTTTATCATGTGCTCTTATGAAAAATTACTTGTCCTGAAATATTAACTAATTATATTTTGATTTTGTCTATTCAGTTCAAAGTTAACATGAAAGATAGTAAGGAAAAAACTACAGAGTGAACATAACATTATATATAGGGATAAGTGTATATGAAAATTAATAATAAATATAATGGTTCTAATGAATATCAAAAGGCCATTGATTTTTTAGAAAAAGGCTGTGGTTGTGGATGCTCTTCAAGAATTCCCAAGGAACAATTTGCAGAATTAAGGGAATCTTTTCAAGCTCTTTCTAAAGTAGAACAAGACATATTCTTAATGGCCCAACTTAAGGCAATGGATGGTGGATCAATAAGTACTAGTAGACACCTTAAAAAGAAAACCAGATCTAATAAAAGAACTTTCTATCAATGGGATCACAATACACTCCTTTGTCAAGAAACTTATCTCAATATGTTAGGAATTGGTAGGACTTATTTTGAAAATATTAGAAATCATCTAATAAATAATGGTCTTCTACCAAGAATTCATGGTAATATTAAAAGAATGCCTCAATGGAAAACTAAAATGGTGATTGATAAAAA